TGCCCAGATCTTTGCAGCTGCTGCATCATTTTGAGTTGCCCACCATTTGTGATCTTGTTGTGTGATAGTGTGGTGTTAAGGTACATGGGAAGGAGCAAACGCCTCAGTGCAAAGAGGATGCGACAGAAAACAGAAATAAAATGATGGCAGTGATTGTACATTTTGCTTTACACATGAAGTACTGGCAAGTACTGATACAGTTCAGTTCAGGGATGACAGTGGAGGCAGTTTGCCAACTGTTAGGTACTGGAGAGCATACAATGAAGAAAGAAGATAATATGTTTTAAGCAGTGTAACTTAACATAATGAAAAATAACACAATAAATATAAGGGAATGCTGAAAGTGAGTTTCAACAAAAGGAAAGTATGTAGACATAGGATAGAAAATTTAAAGTGACAGAGTAGGTAGGATGTTTAGAAATAAACTGGAAAAATCTCTTGTAAATCAGTAGCGAATATAATAAATTCTGCAAGGACCCTCTCGACTTTGAATATCAGTATCTTTTCTGTTCCCAGATTCTGGGATTCTATGCATCAAGTCCATGTACAAAAGTGCCATCTCCTTGCTGTATTGCCCTTCTGCCATTCTTCACAAGGGGCAAGGATGATGATGGCCTCCTGATAACGTTAAGAATGAGTTCAGTATTGGAAAGGACTTGTAATGCACCACAGGTATGTGTGGAGAAGGAGATAACCCAAGATCAGAACGGAGTCTCTTGCTCCAAGAGCACATTCCCAAGTTTTTTGCATTCCAAACATGGCGATTATTGTCCTTACTAACAAGTAAATAGAAAACAGCTCTTTTCCAAGATTAATATGTAGGGAAGAATATAGTCAAAAGAACTAAAGCAGCAAGGCAGTCTGACCCTTACTACTGAAATAATCACATAGGATTGCCAATCAATGAAGTCCAGAGATGGAACATAAACAGTTGTAAGCTGGGAAGATTCCACAAACAATATTTATTACTGGTTTCATTCTTGCTCCTACCCTTGTTCTTTCAGGGTTTTTGACACAGCTATAACAATTCACAGTTTTCCAAAGTTAGTGTGCCATTTTTACCTTCTGGAACATGGAGATCTATTAGAGAGCTTGCTGATGGAAGTGTTCATAGAAGTAGTGTGCAATCAGAAAAAAAAATTAGGTTGGAAGGGTCCTCTGGAGGTCTCTAGTCCAATTCCCTGCTCAGAGTGGAGCTGACTTCCAAGCTGGATTAGGTTATTCAGGGCCTTGTTCAATTAAGTTTGGAAAATCTCCAAGGATGAAGATGCCACAACCTGATTGAGTACTTAACAACTCTCCCTGTAAAGGCTTACAGCAATAAGATAGCAATACAAGTGGACTATGTAAGAGAATGTAAGAATATTTAATTAGAATATATAGGTGAAGATCATGGCAGTAAGAGCTTTCTGTATGGGTGATAAGGTAGAACAAAAAAATAGCAATATACTTAGAGTAACAGCAGGAATGCTGTGGCTTTGCCTTTGCTGACAACTGTAGTTGGACACTGCAGACTGGAGAACTTTGTTTGGGTTTCTTCATAGGTAGTTTTGATCACAGTGTCCCCAGGATTTTTTTTGTCTGAAAAGCTTTCTTTAGATCCTTATCTGACTTTGCTGACTACTTAGTTTCCCTCCTGTGGAAGCCTGCATTCCTTTCAGGTGGTAGAGACATGCAGCCCACGTGTGAACAGAGCTGAAATGAACTTCTGTGGAGAGGTATCGTCTCCAGTGCCAGTCAGCACCACTGCTATATTCTTACCATCCCAGTGAGCAAAAGTCACCGAGCTGCAGGACTACAGTGTGGAAAAGTGATGACACAACAGCATCTTGATAACACAGTGTCAGCCTTAGGAGCAAAGTAGAAAATATATGGGTTTGGATAGGAAGAAGCAGGGGATGCTTTGCACAGCCTCCTTGGTGACACTACCTGTTGCTATAGTATTTTTTAGCCTGTCCCTCTAATGAGTTTTGAAGGCCTGGGAGGCACAGGCAGGATCAGCCACAGGATTAAACATGAGTCAGTGCTTGGTTTAACAACAGAACCATGGCTGTGCTAGTTGACTGACAAGTCTTGTTTACTCAGACTAAGCCCCCACTCTGCAAATAACAGCAGTCTTCTGAGCAGGGTAGGCAGCTTTGTGTGTGGATAGACCTGGAGTCAGAGGCTGTATTCCAAGCATGTAACTTGGGCTGATTCTGAGATGAAAACAGACCTTAAATACAGCACTTCAGCTCCCAGGTACAAGGAATTTCATTGCCCTGTACATCCAGAGTCCAAGCCTACATACAGCCTTTGCTCCCTGGCCCAAAAGGTCTTTCTATCAGAAAGCTGCTTGGGTAACAATGCTTGTAAAAACCCACTGTTTATGCACAGATTTCCTGCAGTCCCCAGTGCATGCTGGTTGCACGTGGGAATGTCCACGGATCTGGAAATGAGGTGTGTGAAGGTGTGCCAGAGTTTGTTTGGATCATGCCGAAGATCCATGCGGACTGTTACAAACAAAACATATGCAGTCCGTGTACTTTAAAATACAAGTGCCCACATAAAAGCTATCGTTTACGGCAGCCATACCATCTGCCCATCCCGTGGCGTGGGGATTTGTAGTGGCGGTAATCCGAAACGCAGCAGGGCTGCCAGAAGCAGCGGGGTTATCAGTGCGGCCCCCTCGCTGGCCGAGGTTCACCCGCAGAGCTCAGCTCCCCGCCTGCTGCCAGCGGGCTCCTCTTGTGCCCCTCGGCCGGTCCAGGGCATCCCTTCCATGCCTACCACCTCCGGGAGGGGGCTTTACGGGAGGAAGGCTGGGGAGATGACTTGTTTTCTTTCTTTCTGGCCCGTTTAAGCTATATTTTCATTCTAACTGCAGTTGTTCTTCCCCGCGCTGCTCCTGGGGCCGGGCCGGGCCGTGCGGTGCTGTCTCCCGGCGGCGGCCGCAGGCAATGGCAGCGGGTCGGGCCCTGCCC